GTTTCCCCTCCTTCCCTCTACTGTGTCTAACCTTTGATTTAAAAGGCCAAGTTTAATCAACCTGAAGCTCAGTGATGGCAAATCCACAAACGCCAGCGCGGAGCACGCAGAATACGGGTTCAATTATTTTGCTCACATAACAACAACAAAAAGTTAATTGTTGCAAAATTGCTTGGCACGTAGATAATTTAACCTGACTTGCATTTTAATTAAAACAAAACTTACTTATGCTTCTGGTGTTTAGTATTACCATTTAATTTTGCATTGCTGCACTGTGAGCACTTAGTTGACCTTCAACCCCGCCCCGGAATTCCCCATCTGGATCACGCTTTCATTACAGGTTTGATCCCCCTGCCCAGGATCCACTGCCTCCCGTGGTTCCAAGAGCCCACTTACGCTTCTCCGCTCGCTCCCTCGCTCCGCCGGGCAGAGCTGCCACAATGTGCTGCGAGCCGGGAAGTGAACTCTCATCATTATTTTTCAAAGACTGGGAAGTGTATTATCCTTTTTCCTAGTGGTAATTAGTTACCATAGCATCTAATACGTAAATGTGCCCAGAGCACATCATTAACAGTTAAACGGAGGATTCAATTTAACACATGATTATATCTTTCATAAGTCATTACATTGAAAAAGCCAATGCCACTCTGGCTGGCGCAGTCGTAGGGTCCGGGTCGCTTGGAAAGGTTCGGTTCCGGCGTCGGAGATTGGAGACCAAGAATGCCTGGAGAGGGGAATTCTCTCAGTGGGCTGCAGGCTATTAAGGATGGGTGGTGGGTGTGACAGGAGAGTCAAGGATTTTTTAGTGCTAACACAAGGTCTTAGAGAGTCGACCAGCTGCGGGAAGCAAAGGGCGCATTGAGGGACAGAGCGGGGCAGAGAATGTGCGCGCGTGCACACGAGGGAACACACACACACACACACACACACAGGGAAGTAAAAGGAGGAGACCAGAGAGCTCTTCGGAGATGATCATTTGTTCGTCTTGGAAAGGTTAACTTTGTTAGTCTTGGAAAGGCTGACTTTCCTGTCGGGAGCCAGTGTCAAGCTGGGGTTAGGTTCTCAGGAAGAACCTAAAGTGGGACTCCAGGTCCACACCGGCCTGCGAGAGGCGCCCGGAAGAACCCCAAGGCACGGCGGATCCCGGAGCAGTCCAGGCTGCCCAAGGTACCCTAGCTCATGCAGCAGTTTCAGGGATCAGATTGTACTCTGTGTCCCAAGGGCCCCTAGCCCACGCCAAGCTGACTACCCGGTTCAGGCGCAGGTGCCCCCTTTGTAGACAGATATTTGAGGCTCAGTTTTTATGGGAGGTCAACTGTGCGGACCAGGTGGGAATTCAGGGCTGTAGAGTTGAAAAGAAAGGTCACAAAGCTACCCACAGCCCCACAGCACACCCCTCCTCCCCCCTAGTTTAGAGTCCTCTGCCAAGGACCAGTTTTCCCCTCTAAAAGCTGTTTGTGGCTGAATAAACTTCAGGAAGTTGGAGCTAGGGCAAAGAACCCAGGTCATTCAGAAAACCCTTTTTCCGGTGCTCTCAGTTGCCTCAGGTTTATTCTTGCAACCAGGAGGCAGCCAACACCTGCATTTGAAAGAAAATTGATTGGCCTTGAATTATTAAGATGCTAACAGATATCATTAACTCTGTGGCACTGATTAGAACTGTTCCTCTGACTTTTCACCTTACTCTCCAACCTTTCCTCTTGGCCACCCCCATCCATTTCAGTTCTCTTTCAGGATTCAGGCTGGAAGGCCAAAATGTGTTAGTCTGTACACATCCTAATGGTAGCTGGCCATTGCAGAGGTTAAACAGGAAGTATTTCAAGGAGGCCTTAATAACAAGAAATAATAGGCATAAATCTTGCAGAACATGGATCCCTTACAATGCTAATATGCAAAAAGAAAAAAAAAATCCAAGGATGGTGGCTGTGGTTAATTCCTAATCAGAATGATGGACAGCAGGGCCAGAACAATACAAACTAATGGCTGTGTTGCTGATCACTTTACTCCTTGATTAAAGACACCCAATTACGGTGCAGAACAGTGTCGTAATTATGTTTCTTAATCACATCCAGGAGGTCTAATTGCCTTAACGATGTGTTTCATTAAATGAATTTAGGTATTATAGTCGACAGTTTTCATACACAGTTGTTTTCAAATTAACATAATATTAGACATCGTCATGGAAATTGTTTTAATAATCATAATTAGACGCACCCAGGCTTTGTCTGGTAAATGCTGAGAGACGGTCTCCTCCCGCCTGGGGGCTGCCCTGGTGTCTTCCCTTCATCTGCCCCCACTCCCAGTCAGGGAGGGCTTCAGCTTCAAGGCCCTGTGCTGTTATGTTTTTCGAAGTTGCAGGTTCTGATTAATCTTTTCTGATGGCAAGTGGAGCAGAAGACACCCTCCCTCACCCCCCCACCCCACCACCTTGTTTGGTGGCATTTCAGGATATCCTTATGAGCTGAGGCCGCACAGACAGAAGTGCAGTTATGCACTGGGTAGAGAGGAATCACTCTGCCTTTCCACCACTACAGCTCCAACACCATGACCACTATCACTGCAACCTGTTCTACCACGGATGCCACACCTCCTGCACTGGAAGACAGCATGAAGATCCAGAGGCAAGCCCGTGCAGTCATTCTGTACCAAAAACAATGCCAGACTCGATCCAAGCATCTAGCAATCTCATAAACAAGCACTAGTATTAAGTTCTAAGTATCTCTGTTGGCATCATTTGTACGTATAGTTCAACCTAGCAGTTGTCTTCAAACAAGCGGAAAGCCATGATAGAAACCAGTGCTCAGAGACTCCAAATCCATCTTTTTCCTTGGCCATCAGGCTTATGGAGGCAAATAATAGGAATAATAATTTTATTCAAGATTATTTAAAAATCAACTCCTTAACTGGGTGTTGGCATAGTTAGGCATGCCACATAAATGGGAAAAGATAACTAGGTCTAACCTTGGCCTTCCAAGTTCATGCCAGCAGCAGGAGCTCTGAACCTCTGGGCCGCTCCTGGGTCTGCCCATGGACCCGACTCACCCCTGGTTTTGTGGACATGTCCAGCTATTGCACTTTTAAATTAGTGAAGTAGAGCTACTCCTCATTGTGTATCCCTGCCAAAACTTTAGTTGCACCTTCTCTGAAACTCCTTCCTTGGTTGTTATCTTTCAAGCAAAGAGTAACATAGAAGAGAGGTGACTGCTCCTTTCACAAAGCACAGTATAATAAAAATGTTTGATCAAAATATTTTAATAAAGATTCTTTCTGACATAGATACACATACAAACGGTTGTACATAGCTGTCAGTCTGATTGACCTATTTAATATAGATATAGATATCACTCTTTACACATCCAAACCCACCAGAAGATCCATCATAGCTCTCACCTCACCATCCAACCAGGCAACCTGAATCTGTATTATCTGAAAGGAGTGGAAAATAGAAGGAGTCCATTTCTTAAAAAGTTGGGGGTTTTTTTTGTTTGTTTTTTGTTTTGTTTTGTTTTTAATTTCCTTAAGACAGAAGGGCAGGCAGGCAGCCATGCAAACTCAAACTTCACTTTGGGTAAATAGCATCTTGTTCTTCCTTAGTTCTATTTTCTTTTTAAATTTTATTATTTGTTTTTTTAGAAAAATAACAAAGGATTTTACACCATAGGCAAATCAAACCAGTGTTTTAAACTTCAATAATTCTCCGCAGGTAAAATAACTTATATATATATATGTACATATATATTAAAAGCAATTAAACTAGGCCTTTTATAAATATGCAGCACAGCCTGAAAAATTATATTTGCTTAGCATGTTCTTATTTAGAGGGTCTACTGTTGTGATGGATGTCCTTCCCTTTTGGAATGCAAAGAAGTCCCCTTTCCAAAAAAAAAAAAAAAAAAAACAGAGATTAATTCATGTCATCAATTAAGAATACACCTTTCCTGTAATTTTTGGACTGAAGCAATTTATTAAAGCTCAATTTAAATACAGGGGTGATGCAACTGAAAAAAAAAATCCAGGTGGCCTTTCAAAACCTAAGCAGCTCAGATACACCAATATTTCTCTGTTGGCAAATAAACCTTTAAACACTTGGCACACAGTATAAGTTAACCTATAAAACAATTTTAGAAGCAGTAAAAAAAAAAAAAGTCTGCACATAAGACCCATAACCTTAACACATATGAAATCCTGTTGATGTGGAAGGTTCATTGGAGAACAAATAAATACCGTGAATTGTTAATACATCATTGCAGAGTAGAAAGCAGCAAGGTGCACATAAATATTTTTAAAATGCAATTCTTCCAGCCACAGTCACTCTCGCCAAAACTTTGAGCATTTTCACAGGATTAAAGTTCAGAGACAATAAAAAATACAAGTCTTTCTTAGCAACACGTCTCTTTCCCTTCTCTCTGGAATACCTCCTCCCTCCCACCTCTCTGAAGTCAATCTACATAGCAAGTTTTTCTCCTGGCTCAGAATGAAAATTTGTTTTCAAGTGTCCTTTCTGATTTGTCTGAATGGATAGCCTGTCCCGCACGCCGTCCCACCCCGGACGCCTCTGTTTCCAACAGTACCAGGCAAATTCACAATTAGGAATAGGGTTAGCACTTTGCCATTCAACAGTTTCCACGCGTAGTAATCAAACTCTACTTCTCAACTTTTTTTTTCACGTAAAAAGAAAGACCCCACTTCCTCTCGGTCTAAAAGTTGCCACTTTTCCGAGAGGGGAAAAACAAAAACAACCAGATATCCCAACTCCACCTCCCTCCTCCCTCCCTCTCCACCCCGAAAGACCGAGATTCGGGGACGTCAAGGTTAAAAGTCCGGCTCGTCTCTGATAACTTCTCAGTTCTCGTCACCGTTTTGTTCGCTCTGCAAGCGTTTCACCACTACGAGAGGATCAAAAGTACAAAGGGGCGGGGTGGGGTGGGGAGCAGCTTCTCGGGGTTTTCTAGCTTTTGGGTCCGTCTTGTGTTTTCCCGGGGACACGGGGGCGGGAGGGGGTGTTTAAGGCTTCTCCGTGCACTGTTTGCAAAGGCTGGAGGAGACGCTGTTGAACAGGGCACACTTCTCCGGACAGGAGGCGGCCGGGGGGAGGCCGGCGCTGAACGGGTAGCCGGCCGCCTGCTCGTAGGCGCCGAGCGCGGGGTGCAGGGCAGCGGCCGCCGCCGCTGCGGCCGCGGAGCTGGGCAGGGAGGCGGCCGAGATGGCCTGGCCCTGGTTGAGGTAGGCGACGAGGCGCCGCATCTCCTCCAGGGCCTGCGCCTGCATGAGGATGTAGTTTTTGGCGAGCAGCAGCGTGGCGATCTTGGAGAGCTTCCGCACCGAGGGGCTATGTGCGTAGGGAATCACGGCGCGCAGCTCGTCCAGCGCGTCGTTCAGGTCGTGCATCCTCCGGCGCTCCCGGGCATTGATGTTGAGCCGCAGCGCCTTCTGCTCTTTGGATTTCTTGCTGCTGCTGCTACTACTGCTGCTGCTGCTACTGCTGCCGCCGCCACCGCCGCTGCTGCCCCCGCCACCGCCGGGGCCCCCCGGGGCGCCGCTGGCGCCGCCGTGGAGGTGGGCGTTGGAGCAGCCTTCGGCCGCCTTGGCACCGCCGCCCCCCGCGCCCGGGGAGGCCCGCGGGTCGGTGCCTCCCGCCCGCAGCACCAGCTCGCAGCGGCCGTCGCTGTCGTCGTCGGGGCTCTGCTCGCCGCCGCTACTCTCGGCCACCGAGCCCCGGCTCGCGCTCTCGCTGTATTTGAGGCACAGGGAGGCCCCTGCCGGCAAACTGTTCAGGCTGGGGTCGCCTCCGACGCCGGCTGAGCCCACCAGCAGCCCGGGGACACCCACCCCTCCGCCACCGCCACCTCCCGCGCCGCCACCGCCACCTCCCCCAGGCGGTGGCAGAAGCAGCCCTGCCCCCTCGGGGTCAGCCGGCTCGAAGCAGCCGAGGGGCGAGGAGGAGGAGGAGGACGCCGGGCGTTCCCGAGGCGGCGGTGCCAGGGACAGGTCCATGCCCGGGGGCGTGGAGCGGAAAGCCGCCTCCAAGCGCTTGGCGGTGGATGCGCTCAGGCTCTTGTGCAGGAAGAGGTCGTCTTCGCCCGCGGCCGCCGCCGCGCCGAGGTGCAGCCCGCGCTCCATGGTCCGCCTTGGGCGCGCAGCCCAGGCCCGGCTCTCCCGCAGCCGCCGCCGCCGCCGCCCGCGCTCGGGATTCAGGCGGCTCTGCAAACGCACGCGAGCTGCGCTCCGGAGCTGGTGCGCGCGTCGGTCCTGGTGCTGCCCGCAGCCCTCTCCCCTTCTTTCTTTTTCTTTTTCGCCTTCCCCCGCGCTCGCCGCCTCCTCTTCTTCTTCTTCTTCGTCTCCAGCCGATGGTGCTGGCTACTGGGGCTCACCATGGGCCGCGGCCCCGCATGGTGGGAGGGTGGGCGCGGAGGGAGTGGAGCCGCCGCCGCCGCCGCTGGTCTGAGCCCAGCCCCGCGCCTCCTCTCCGTACCGTTTATCTTGCTTGGATTCACCTTCAAGAGATTTCCGGACCCATCAACCAGCCGCCGCCACAGACGGGGGAGTCTTTTACATCATTATCTCTGAGTAGGTTATTATGAAGAAGACTCGCCTGTTGGGACAGCGCTTGCTACCCAATCAGGTTAACGTTTTAATTAATAGGATTAAAACGGTAACAAACAATCGCAGGCGCTATCTGGCCGCGAGTCTGAATAGTTTCATTTCCCAGGTCTGAAGACAGGCAGCAGCTAGGGCTTTATAAAAGGCGCCTGCTCCATTATTCTGCCTGCCATCTGTATACACAGCTTAGCGCATATGTTTGCAAGGCGCTGGGTCCTGTTAGTAACCCAACAACTGCCTTTAGCTTGACATGTGTGGCGACTTTCACTCATCAATGAGCACACTAAAAGCCCTACTTAGAGCCGAGGATGTTCTCCGCTCCTTCAGCAAATTGTAGCTCGGCGGTGGAGCCTGCGAGTGCCCTGGAAAGCAGACGCCCCCACCCCCGGCCCCCTCCCTCCCCCCACCCGCTTGCCCTTCCCTCTGCTGCTGTCTCCAACGTGTGCTAAGCTCCGCTTCCCGCCGCCCAGTGTACCCCATCCGTGGCGTGGAATGACTCTGGGCTGGTTTGGGCAGAAGAGACTTGCAGGGCGAAAAGGTGGTGTCCCAGCTGCCTTATCCCAAATACACTGGCGATTTTTCAGCTACTGAGATCAAACCCCAACACCCCTCGGGCACTGAGTCTGAATCCCACATCTCCATTGCCCATTTCCTACCCGTGTTGGAAAACAAAACGCATAATACAGAGCAGTTGGGTTATGCAGCCCATTTGATTTCAGACGGCGGAAGGGTGATGAGGGGAGTTCTGCAGTGGTCGCCGAGGGGCCGTTCACAATAAGGGTGCTGGCGAAGCCCTCAGTTTACGAATATAGAAGAAGCTGGCTTCCCAAACTTTCCGCAGCACAGAAAGTCAGATTCTGAACAATCACACCAGGAGTCAAATCCTCTTAAACTCCAATCGCGGGGGGAGGAGGGGGGCGCAAGGCCGGGGGAGGCTGCTGTTTGCATATTGATTTGCCGGGAAACCTAACCGTCGGAGCCAGAGACCCCGAGGGACGCCTGGGTCTGCCTTGGTTGTTGTCCGAAGGTCAGGGAAGGCAAAAGTAGGAAAACCAGCGCTCCTCCCCGGCGCGAAAGGGGACTCGCGCTCAGCTCGCTCCAACTTGGCTCTCCGCGAGCACATGGTGCCCAGCAGCTGGTTCTCATCCTTATGACACAAGTAAAAACAATATTTCCCAACACCTCCCATAATTCTTTCTTCTGTGGCAGAATTACTGAAAGCTGTGCCATTTTTGGTTTCTCTGGTTTCATTAAAAACCTTTTAATTGTGGCTTTCAGACTTGGCCCCAGGTGTTGGGCTCTTTTCATTACATTTTGCTCTAATGTGATGAAATTCTAATTCTCTCCTTACCATATGGTTAAATTTCCCCACTGAGAATTAGTTGAAAAAGGAGAAATAATCTATTAATCTCTGTAATAGATTCACAAATGAGGTTCGCCACAGAACCTGTTTTTGAATGGTAATATCAGAACAGTTGGGCGCCTTATTTCATAAAGGAAGGGTGAGGGACACACTGAAATGCCTGCATTGTCACCTGCAAAGGATGATAAGGGGCGCAGTGTTGTCTTTCCAAAAGAACTGCCCCATCTCCAAGGGACCCAACACGCACCCCCCGATGAAGCGCTGGAGCCCCTAGGACCAAGAAAGCCGCCTGGCCGGGAGAGGCTGTGGTGCCTGGGACCCAGGCCGCCAGGGCTGCGGGGTTGCGTGGACCCTCGCGTCTCCCTGGGGACCCTAGGGTTTGTCTTCCTAGTGAGAAGACTTCCCGGTGCTCCGCGCCCTCTTCCTCCTTTCCCTCTCCAGGCGCTGCCAGCTGTTAATCCCCACCACCCTTCAGTTAGCAGCTTGTTTGCACCGTGAGGAGAAACCAAGGTTTTCCACAAACAGAGGTGAGGTGGGTTGCGAGTGAGAGTGCCCGACCTAACTTCAGAACCTTCCGGCCACTCCCAGCAGCATGGAAGCTGCGGGTATCCTGGCTGCGGGCCGGGTGGCGTCTGGTCTGCTGCGTCTGACTTCATTTTCCACCCAGCCAGCCTTCGCTGCAGGCGCGCACTTCCTGCCGGTGCCGCGCTGTGCACCTGAAGTGCCACGGACCGCCCTACGGCCAGGTCTGGGGGGCGCGGGCGCAGCCGCAGGCACCACGCCGGGTTTGGCCCGGTGTGTCCGGACGACCCGGCGGCCCCGGCCTCGGTGAGAGCCCAGGGTCTTCCAGGACCTCGGGTTTAGTTGGTGTCAGACAACTTGACCCCACCCCCACGACTCCCTACCAGGCCTCTCCTCCTGGGCCACCCAAACTTAAAGAACAAACTTTTACCACACTTCCTTTCACTCAGAGGATAAAAACCTTTATTATTATTATTATTATTATTATTATTATTATTATTTTGATGGGTTCAAGAAAATCCCCCTAGTCTCCCCGGAGGAGGTGGCGGCTCAACAGAGGGAAGCCTTGGTGGTGGGAAATGGCCGGAGGATTTATAGAAGCTCTAAATGTAGGCCTTGTAACAATCGTCGGGGCATGGTCTTTGAGGTTTATGCACTCGTAAAGTTTTGCTGATTGCTTCTGGGAAGTTGTCAGGCACTTAACACGCGTTTATCTTAGAGGGCAATGAAAACACATCTGCCCCGTGTCTCGTTACCGGGTTTGATCTTCGCCAGCCCTAAGTCACGGCCGGGGCGCCCACTCCCCCTCGCGGGTGGGTCCCGACCGCATCTCGGTTTCCCGGGGGTGGGAAGGCGACGTCAGGCGCTCACTAAGTGCGCCCGGTCCCAGGAGCTGGGGAAACCTGCGCTCTCCAAGTCGGTTCTGTCCGTGAGAGAGGCAGGGCCCCGGGACGGTTGCGAAGAGGTAGTCAGGACAGGAGCTCGGGGGTCCAGGGTTGGTAAATCAACCCGGGGTGAATCTCCCGGCCCACCCGTGAGCCGCCTGCATGATTCTAACTACTTCTGGAGTGCGCGGCTGGGGCAGCAGACGCCGGGACTGTCCCTTCTGTCCACAGCAAAGGCCGGACGGTGGGCGCCCGGGTCGCCGGGGCGCTGGTTCCGAGACCGGGGGCGCTGGTTCCGAGACCCGGTGGGCTGGAAGCGCTCTCCGCCCAGGGTCCTAAATCAAACCCTCACAGGCCAGGGCGCGCTGGCCGAGGGGGAGCGAGCATACTTTGGGGCTTGGAGGGAAATTCTGAGACGTCGGGCAAGCTGCCAGTCCTGCTTTGAAAAAGACCAGAGTAACTCTAGGTCGAATTTAACTTCCTTCACAATCATTTTTTTTTTCTGAGTGGCTTCAAATCGGACATAGGAGCCCAAATAAAAATGGAACACAATCTTTCTCTCAGATGCGCAGCCAGGAACTGCTGCTGTCGGTTTTGTCTATTACTCTGATAGATCGTTTATTCCTAAACTAGCTGGGAAAGTTGGGAAGCTCTCATTTAGTTTGCACCTTTTTTTTTTTTTTTTGGAGGAAGAATTGGATCTCTGTGCGTTTTATCTATTTCAGAACATTCTAACAAGTGAACACAAAGTTTAGGAAAAATGACAACTTTCTCTTGGGAGCAGCTCTGGAAAGGCGAATTCTCAGGAAGCCATGGAAAGCCTCCCTTAAGTCGGGACCCTCCCCACCAGCAGGTGCGGGTCGGCGGCTGATCTGGTGTCCTCCAAGCCTTGGAAGCAGCGCGCGAGGCCCACGCACTCTGGTCGCACTGCCCCCGGGCCGGCTCGTTGACTTTGACGCTGAGTTTGCCTCGCGAGCCCCGCATTGTCTGGCGGCACCAGGATAGGCTTACGAGTGGACAGGGCAGAGTAGGGTTCGCCATCCCGAGGCCCTGCTGGGTTTGGGAGGCCGGGACCAACTTGGTAGCAAAGACTAAAGCCCAGAGGCCAAGCCTTTTGGTGTTGCTTTCTCACCAGTGTTGTCTAACGCCCCTCGCCGGTCTTGCACAGTTCTCCGGGGAGAGAGACCCTGGGTCCGCTTGTGTCCAGGGCGTGGCTGGTCTCCAGAGCACAGCCCGGATCTGGGTCAGGAGATAAGCCCCCAAGGGGGCAGTCCTGCACGCCAGCCTCGCTGTAGCGCCCAGGCGGCCAGCAAACTGCTCAGACTCTGGAAAAGTTGGAACTTGTTGATGGGAAATTCCTTTGAGATTTCGCTTTGTTTTAAAGGACAAAGGTGGGTACCCAGTACTGTTTGGCTGCCAGTTAACCTCGGTTGGAACAGACACGAATGGGAAGCCATCAGGCTCCGAGAACAGTTCGTGTTGTGTACGCTTTGCATTTTTTTTTTTTTTTCCAGCGTGCAGCTTACCAGCCAGTCTTGAAGCTCACCGCAGAGCGCTCCTGGCTCAGATTTGCGATCTTGCTACTCTCAAGGCGAGGGAGGGCGGGAGGGCATAGGAAGAGAGAATAACTGGGACTCTGCTTTGCGTGCTGAAATCCCAGAGGACAATGAAGGACGTACACAGCGAGAAAGCAAAACTAACGAAAGATTTCACTTCTAACTGGCTTACTTGGGCGAACTCTTCAGTTGCCAGCCCTAGGGGTTGACTTATGTAACAGATTAGTTTGTGTGACGGGTGCCCTTTCCTCCCCCGGAATCTTCATAGGACGCTGAAAAACATTAGAAAAGAATTAATTAAAAAATTGTTCGAACAAAAAGGGTGAACATTTTTAGGACCTACCCACTGTGCACCGATTAAGCAAAGAATAAAATTCAGCTGGGTTTTCGGATCTGCGATTTAAAACCCACAGCGCCATCTCCTGGCAAAGAAGAAAATATCATGGTGGATAACAATGCTTAAATGCTGAGTACGAAATACTGCAAGATGACTTATTTTTTATGCCTCAGATGTTATCCTAATTATAAGTTGATTATGATTACAAAACATGATCTTGACACTTATTATCATTAAAAGTTGTCACACAAAGTCCTGGAAAGTAACATGTATAAGTTGAAGT